TAGCATAAACTAGATACAGCAGTCAACCAATAAGGAATCTCCACACTTAATGGCTCACTTTTGTTACTTCTCAAACCACTCCCTCTGGCATTTTGCCAGGCACCATCCAGACTTGTTTACAACTCTAACATTCCCCTGGCAAAATACCAGGTGTTATTTTGACTTGTTTACAGACCTTAACAGCTCATAACATAGAGGCCTGAGACACATTCAAAATTAAGAAATATGGGGCAAGTTGAAAACAAATGTATTACAGAACCAAGTAAGAGATCGTCACCAATTGTATGTTAAGAATCCTAAATATCCAAGGTAGAAAGATCCCAAAAACCTGAGGTACAGAGGGAAATAAAATCGGTTTCAAAATTTCCCACGTCCATACACCAAAAAACACACCTATCATTTTAGATGGGTGGGGAAGCAGGGATAAAGGTATATCTATTCCCAATAATGAGACTGCAGAGAATTTATTGTTTAGGAGTCTTCATTGAGAGGTGTCACAGAACATAATCAGCATTACAAGAAGTACAGGGAGGCTTCATAATTACAACTGTCACCATGGATGGAATTCTTCTGGCAATGCTAATATATGTTTTTACTATTACCACAGAAACCAAAATGTTTGGCATTATTACATCTATTTCACCTAAGGCAACTAAGTTTCAATGAAGTTAAGGAAATTCCTCATGGTCATATTCCTGGTGGATCCCAAACAGATAATGATTTGTTCATTTTAAGTTCTATGATGTGAACAAATCAGATATGCAGCATCCAGTTTTTTTTGGTAATGCAATAAAATCAGATGTTGCCACAGAAAAAGTACAGTAATCTAGCAAAATAATAATGCAGAATGTCCAGCTAAGTTTGAATTTCGGATCAACTTCAGATGAAATTTCAGCCTCTGAATTCAACTTTAACTGCTGTTCTGTGTTTTATCTGGCAACCTAATCTCAAGGTACAGGTTAAGAGTATAGAGTACCTAGGAAGAAGAGTAACTCTATATACTTTAGACAAACTTCTGGACATATGACTTATTTCTACCCAGGATCCTGAAAGGTATGACAGTGAATTCAAGATGACATTCCCTGACAAGAGTCTGTACTTCAGCTTTCTTTTGCCAGTTAAATATGGAACTTTCTTAAATTAGAGAAACATTTATCAGAAATAATCTAAAGATCGTGGATTTATGAATGATTTTTATCAACTTCCCATTTTATATTTCCTGTTCTACAATATGCTTCTGTCTACTTTGATAATAAGAAAATAATATTACTAAAGATAATCTAAACATGTGAAAGAAATCTTAGAACTGAAAAATTTTGTTTTATTTTAATGGCAATTTGGATAAGGCATTCCAAAAAAAAAGTATGTGAATATTTAGATAGTAAGGCTGAACAATTATTAAATAAAATACAATAAATTGTAACATGATGGGAATAAGATTTACTACTGATTTTCTATATGTGGGGATTGGAATGTTTTTTGGGGCTTTGGTTTTTTGGTTTTGGTTTTTTTTTTTTTTTTTCATAACAGGTGGTGGAACCCAGAGGCACTTTACCACTGACCTACATCCCTGGCCCTTTTATGTCTAATTTTGATACAGAGGCTTGCTAAGTTCCCCAGCCTGGCCTCAAACTTGCAACCCTCCTACCTCAGCCTCCTGAGTCCCTGAGATTATAGGTGTTTGCCACTGCATCCAGCTCTCAGAGTGTTCTTTGAGATGACACCAAAATTTAACTCTAAAACTTCCAGTTCAAAGTTCAAAATGTAAATTACCCATGAGGAATGAGAATCAAAATCAGAGAATCAAAAGCATTGTGGAGGGGAAAAAAAATCAGAACAAAACAAAATGGGGAAGGGGTGGTAAACTTTTTTTCTGGGCAGTTGTATCCACCTAGAATTAGGAAAACAGAAGTAAAGTTACAAGTGGAGCCCCGAGGGCTGACTACCCTGGACATTCCTTCTATTCCCACTTCAGAACTGGTGCAGAGGCAAATCCCAGCACCAACCCCAGAAGTCAGGAGAGCTGCAAACTCAGACGTGTTCATGCATCAACAGAAGTGCTAGTCCCTGTTGTGCAAGTCTTGCTGGGGAGTTTGCTTGGGATGGGCATTTGGTACCTCACGTGCTTCCAGAACCTGGAATTCGGAGACCGGTTATTGGCCACGTGATCTTCCCTCCATTTGATGGTGCCCTGCACTTTCACAAGGTGCTTGAGGGAATCTTGAAGGTCATCCACCTGCAGTCCACCTGTCTTTCCCGGAGGCTCCATTTCTATTAGAATCACCTTGGAGTCATTCCGGATGAGGGCACTGTGCAGGGCAATCTCCTGCTCATAGGAAAACTCTTTGCTGTTTGTGATGTGAGGAGCCAGGATAAACATGTGTCGCCTACTTTTTCGCAGGTTGGTTTCCACTGCCATGGCGGCATCTGGTCAGGTGAGAAACAGATTGGGAATCTCCTATCATTGCCTTTTTTATAGTCTAATAGTGGAGGTTGTTCTGAACATTAAAAAATATTCTTATTGTTGTAATCTGGCATGAGATTCTGATCACTGATCAAATAACTTATTCAGAAAGTGGGAATGAACTTGGATAGAGAACCAACCCATTTTTTTTTCTTTTTTCTCCTATCACCATAAAAACATCCACCCAATGCCCTCTTTTTCACCAGGTAAAAATCAATTCTAACTAAAATGTTCTTCCAGTGAATTGGGAGTGTGGACGTATCTCACCTACTGTTTCATGGGAGATTGAGAATTATCAGAATTTTCTTCTTTGACTGTAAGAGACTTAGAATATGTGTGCATATGTTAAAAGGGCTTCATATATTAACTTGAACATATTTTAACATATTAACTCACATAGGGGAGAGTGCAATTTCAGGAAGTCCTGCCCCCAGCCCAAGCTGACCCAGGTCTCTAGGAAAATCCTGGTTCCACTTCATACCCCAGTAATCTCTGTTGTCGGGACTGATTTGATGGAGACTAGAAAAATCTTAAGGAATATTATATCTTTTTCCAAGTCAGTGTCTAAGAAGCATCAACACCATGGTGATTTAACTATCTCTGGGTGGAATAAGAAAGACATGTAAAGTACCTAGTTCTCACCACAGAAGGTGAAAGTACAGTCAGGAAACACAACCATGAACAAAGTGACTCAAGATCTTTTTAGAGTAGGGGCCGAAGACTGCAAATTCATGCAGTCTGAAGTCAAAAAATAAATATTGTGAAATATTGTTAAATGAAGATCATGAATTCAGATTCTCCATCCTGGATGGAGCGGGATGCAGAAGGGCCGTAAAGGGGATGAAAATGGAAGGTAACTAGCATGAGAATATCCACAAAGCCAGGTGCGAACTTTTTCTAAGGAAAGAAGAGAGTCCAGTGGTGATCTGGTGGGTTTATTCTATCGGAGTGGAAGAAAGATCATAGGTTATGCCTTGAGGGAGGGGAAGGAGGAAATCATTTCAATAAGTGTGTCGTTGCCCAGTGAATGCAACACAGGCATGAGCACCAGAGAGTATCTAAACTTGGCTGGGGAGAGGTGGAACTAGCAATGAACTTGATGCACTAAGAAAGAAGAGATGAAGAGCCCATGCCCAGAGGTGGTGCACAGTGTGAGCTCACAGACAAGTGAGCCCTTGAGCAGACCTGTGACATGAAAAGAGCTCTTGAAACCATCACCCATTACTTTCTACCAGTGTGGGAGAGCTGGGGAATGAAAGGGGAGCTTCCTGGAAAGAATCATATGATGTATACAGAGACAGCTTTACCTTCTCCAGGTAGCAGATCTCTTCCATAAATGCATAATTTATATCCACATTGATTTTCAAGAACATCAGGCAGAATCTGATGAACAAAGTACTCCGCAGAACCGGCCTCTTCTGAATTGCATCTGTAGTTCCGTGGATATATAACATAAGCATCATAGAGTTTTCCATCTGAAAATGAAAACAAGAAGTACAACTCCATTACTGGGTTCTAAAAATTCTCATTTTCACTTCTCCGAGTACTACTTTCCTCACCAAGTTCTATGGCTGTTGGTGAATGATCCCCATCCTCCAAAATATTCTAGAACCAAGAGATGATGGCAATCCACTGCCACAAAATGTGGTATGGAAATAACAGTCTTAGTCCCAAACTTCTCTTGCTATTCATTGTCTCAGACTGAATAATGGAGAACAGAAGAGATATTGCCCAGTGCAGGTCAAGTGGTGTGGTCACGACTGATCACTAACCTATTATGAACTATTTATAGTCATTGATACGCCTTCTCCTGGTGTCTGGTAGACCTCAGTGTCATCTATTTCCCCCCAATGCAGTGGTTCTCACTTATCCACAGGAAATGTGTTCCAAAATCTCAGTGGATTCCTGAAACTTCAGAAAGTACTGAACCCTACATATTCTAAGTGTTCCCCTACACATGCCTACCTATGAAAGTTTTAAGTTATAAATCAGGCACAGTAAGACACGAATAATAATAACTAATAATAAAATAGAATAATCACAGCAAAATATTGTAATAAAATTGCCAAAACAGCTGCTTTTGTACTTTGGGGGCAATTATGGAGTTAAATAGAGGTTACTTGAACACAAGCACTGGTATACTACAATAGTCAATCTGATAATCAAGACACTGACTAACGGGTAGGTAGCCTGTTAGTCTAGTGGATACACCAAACAAAGAGATGATTCATGATTCAAGTCCTGGGCAGGATGGTGTCAATTTTCACCACATTACTCAGAATGGTGCAGAATTTATAGCTTGTGTTTTGTTTAGTTATAGTATTTTCATATATATATATATATATATTGTTTTTAACCACAGTTGACCTTGGGTAACTAAAACCACAGAAAATGAAACTAAGGATAAGGGGAAACTACTATACTTTCCTGGAAGAAGTGAAAATGCTAAAGGCTAGTAATGACTAACTAGAGAACAGAATTTCTTAAGGCGTCTCAATTTCCCATAAAGAATTAGCTATAGTAGAGTAGAGTATATAGAAACATATACATCTGTTTGCTTACAAATGAAAGAATAATGTCCGTATTTAGTAGGCAGAACTATCTTGTTTACGTATACATTATGTGCATGTGTGTCGTGTATGTGTTCATAGGTGTGTATACTACTGTATGCTCACATGCATATGTGTGCTCTTGTGCATGTATATACTTTTGAAACAACTTTCCAGGGAAAATGATCTTGCATTCTGCTGCATCTGTCTAACTTATGTACATATGCAAAACAGAAACAACTTTTTTTTTTTTACTGCGCTTTATTTCATAAAGTTTTAGTAACATACATTTCCCAAATATTCAAAACTTTCTGGGCTTGGGACAGATTCTGCTATTAGGGATTTAGTAGAAAAAGCAAATCCAGCAAGGAGAATATTTAAGCTGTTGTCATGAATCTCAGTACCACAGAGAACATCAGAACAGGATGGAAAATGGTCTCTGAGTAGACTCAAAAAAATTCACTAAGCCACGTGTGGTGGTACACACCTGTAATCCCAGTGACTCAAGAGGCTGAGGTAGCAGGGAGGATCACAGTTCAAGGTCAGTCAAAGCAATTTAGTGAGATCCTGTCTCAATACTAAAAATAAAAAGGGCTGGGGATGTGGCTCAAGGGTAAAAGCACTTTGGGATTTAATCCCCAATATCTCCCCCGCCCCATTTACTGATAACCTGTTCTTATGAAACCTTTTTCTTTTGAAGAAAAACTTGAAACTTGTCACTTACCATTCCTAGTTTTGTAAGGTCTAGCTACATCTCTCCAGAGCAGAATGACCTCAATCCAGAATAATTTCAGAATTATCACCAAGATATTGATTATCATTAACGAGATACTACATCCTGCAACTACATAGTAGATGTGTTGATGATCAACTACAAAGGACAGGGAGAGGAGAAAAGCAATCCTTAGTATTATGAAAACAAGATAAACAGACAAATATATGCGTAGTGGCCTCCACTGGAATTAGAAGAGATTCACACCAAAAATACTTCCCGGGAATTTTCATGGCTGCTTTAAGCTTCAGTTCGTCAACATTAATGAACCTATACTCTGCGCAAAGCACCAGGTAGTCCTCACCCAGGATTCTCAAGAGCCAAAGAGACACATGTAAACTTAACTAAGCTGGGAGGTAAAAGCAGGATTATAACCGGCAGAGACATTTGAAAAAGAGCTTGCTCCATCCTGGGCAAAGAAGACTTCCAGCAGAAGATTCCTGAAGGACCTGTAGGATTCAGAGACATGCAGAAACAGGAAATGACCTCCTGTCCAGCAGAATGCTGTGAGACAAAGTGCAGACAGGGGAGTCTGTTTTCTTAGGAACTGGAACAACCCAATTTGAGAAATTAGTGAAAGATGATTACAAAGATGGGTTGGGGCTCTATTTGACCAGACTTGAAACCCCAGGCAACACACTCGCCTTGTTCTGATCTGAAAGTCATGGGAGCCATCAACAATGTAAGTGCTTTTCACACGAGATTAATCTGATGGCAGAAGGTTGGGTTCTGTGGAGACAGACTGCAGGTGCTCTGAGTAGTCAAGAGCACAGAATTTGGGGTACAAGATGAGGATTCAAACTCGTATAATAATGGGAGGGGAATAGACAAGCCTGGTGTTTGTCAGGCACACGAAGGAGAATGAATCAATGGGTCTGGAGGACACATGAGCTCTGATAGTTCGATGGCATAGGAAGAAAAGGTGCAGATAGAGCCCTGGAAGTCTCGGAAGCCTATCCCATCAAGTTGAGTTACTGGGTTCTAGATCCTTCACCTACCCCTTCCTCCTCTAATGGCAAATATTATTTAGCCATCACTGAACTTTATCTTGTTTCAAGAAATGCAAATGCAACATAGTTTCCATCTTCCAGGACTTGTATCAGATGTGTACAAGCTGAACATAATAACTGAGATTTTTGTTTGTTGATACCTGGGATTGAATTCAGGGATAACTAAACCACTGAGCCACATCTCCAGCCCTATTTTGTATTTTGCTTAGAGACAGGGTCTCACTGAGTTGTTCAGTGCCTCACTTTTGCTGAGGTTGATGACTTGCACAGTATTCTTGGTGGTTGATGTTTATTTCCTTAGAATTGTCAGCCATCTTGTCTTAGAAACAGCCTTGCTTAAAAATGAAAGAGAGATCAAATGAGATTTGGTTGGGTTCAATCTTAAGACTCAGTTCATGGGCTCTCACGATTGATGCTGAAAGACACTGACCTTTCTTCACAGATTTCTCCCCTCTTGTATGTTCATGAGCTCTCTGAGTACCCAGCACTACGACATCAAGAATGATGGAGGCAAAGTGATCCAAAGCTGGGAAAAAGAACTAAAAATTGGCAGAGAGCTTACTGTCTACATTGTCATCAGTGTGAATGATAAAAACTCTCTCAGGAACTCATTTCAAAAAGATTGTCTACACTGAGCACGGTGATATACACCTGTAATTCCAGTTACTTGAGAGGCTGAGGGAGGAGGATCACAAGTTCAAGGACGGTCTGGGCAAGATCCAGTCTCAAAATAAAAAGGGCTAGGGATACAGCTCAGGGGTAAAGCCCCACTGGGTTCAGTCCCCAGGAGTTAAGGGGAGGGGGCTGGTTTCTAGAAGTCCTATCTGGATGCAGTCTAAGAATGAACACTTCTTGTGGGGGTTGTTGTGAGGTCCTGTGCAGGACACTTTCAACTGGAGGAAAGAGACTGATTCACTATGTAGAAGAGAATTGGTGTTCAGCATCTACCTAAGTACAATAACTTAAAACGGTACAGGGGCAGGGGATGTGGCTCAAGCAGTAGCGCGCTCACCTGGCAGGCGCAGGGCACTGGATTCGATTGTCAGCACCACATAAAAATAAAAAAATAAAGATGTTGTGTTCACCGAAAACTAAAAAATAAATATTAAAAAATTCTCTCTCTCTTTCTCTCTTAAAAAGAAAAAAAAAAGGTACAGGACAATCTTGCATGTGATGAATAAACACTAAACACTCCCAGCAAGTGTTTATAAATAGAAAAATGTCACTGTGTTTGAATCCTGGCTCCATGATTGTAGTAATCTATAGTGCTTGGCAAGTTATTTGGCTCTTTAAGCTTTTGTTTCCTCATCTATAATATTAGACGACAGAAACATTCTCTCCCTTGTGGGGTATTGAGAGAATAAATGAGAAATTTAATTGTAAAATAACCAGACAGGACTTGGGACAAAAACCAATGCATACGTATATGTTATTAATATTATGAGCATCAAATATTTATTTAGTAGTATATAATAATATGGAGACATAGGATTTTGTTTGTTATTTAAGTTCAAAAGATGCTGTAGTTTCAGAAGTAAGGGTATAGCAGTAGAGACAATTTTTGTTTAATTTACACAGTCATTGAAACAGAGTGTAACTGTTGATTTGAACAAAACCAATAAAATACAAATAAACTAGAAACTACAAAATCACACACACAAAGAATAAAGGTCACATGAACAAAGTTCCAATACACAGGTCATCAGAGAATATTCATGAATTGTGACATGAGCAAAGCACAGGGACAAGGACACAAAGGTGGTGCTAGGTGGGAAGTGGTGTATGGCTTCCCCTTTCCTGTAGGATCCACATGCCCACTACCACCCTGGGACATTTTGACCTGGTCCACAGCCATCCTGGGGTGACACAGTCACCACGGGCAGAAGCCTAATGTCCTACTGAGCAGGACTGCATTTAAGCTCCTCTTCATGAGTCGTGGCTCTTTGTTTTATAAAAACAAATCAGAAGTTAAAATCAAAGCCAAAACAAGAAAACTTAAACAGAGACCTACCATGACCATATCAAACGGGTCAGCTTCTTCCCGCCCCAAGCTCTTTTTCATTGTTCTGGGTGTTTGTGTGTTCATCCAGATGAATCCAGGCCATACCCTGCACGTGGGTATGAACCCAGGGTCTTTGACAAATAACATGTAATTTCCACGTAGCTCTACTGCTACGAAGAGAGTGATGTTATGTCAACAGACCCACATTTTTCCCTTTTCCCTGGGGTCAAATACTTCACCTAATAAACGAAATGACTGTCCCTGGTACTGCCAAAGAACAAGCGCACAGGAACCTAGTGCTTATCGGGATATTCGCCTCGATGACACTGCAGGCAGAGACTGATGGAAGGAGTGGACCATGGGGTCCTCTGCCCCTGCCGAGAGCATTTTGTCACTGAGAAGAGTTAGTGCTATCTGGGTGTGGTGACAATCAGAAGCACAATGACTCACAGGCAGCTTTATTATTGATTTGACTCCTCGGTACACAGCAGCATCCCTTTGTGGTCTGCACCTAAGTAGGAAGGGCCTAGGAAGCAGTCACAGGTAGAAGAGGAGCTCACCGAGAAGCAGGAGGAGGAGAAGCAGGAGAGGAGGAGGAGGACGAAGGGGAAGAGGTAAGGAGGAGGAAAAGGGGAGGAGGGGGACGAGAACAGAGAGCAGTAAAGAAGGTTCCTAGCAAATGGAAATATTCTGAAAAGACCAGAGCGCTGAGCGTCGGTACAGGAGAAGCGTGTTCTATGAGACAGCCCATTTCCATTGTCATGGTGGAGTCCCTGGAACCAAACTGCAGGACGCTGTCCTCTAAGAAAATGATTTCAGCTTACAGTTGACAGAGCAGACGCAGGCGACCAAAGCCTCAGACACTCCTTACTTGGCTTTTTCCTTCTCAGTCTTACGGTATTCCTTATAATTCCATGCAGGTTCAGGGCCAGACAGTTGTACTCCAAGGACAAATCCTCTTTCTTCACATCAGTGATTCTTAAAACTGTGCTCAGACAAATGAGCTCATTGCTAAAACTGAGAAGGCAATTTGTTACTTTTTTGGGGGGACGGGGGCAGAGTTTACCGGAGATTGAACTCAGGGGCACTCAACCACTGAGCCACATCCCCAGCCCTATTTTGTATTTTATTTAGAGTTGGGGGTCTCACTGAGTTGCTTAGCGCCTCACTGTTGCTGAGGCTGGCTTTGRACTCACGATCCTCCTGCCTCAGCCTCCGGAGCCCTTGGGATTACAGAATGCCCAGCAACTTGTTACTTTTAATGTTTTCTCTGCAGGTGCCAATAATGAGGGAGAAGAAGGAGATGTTTCAACTTGGATATAAAAATACCTTTCATTTTGGCCTTCCTCTTCTTGAATTCGTGCTTCACCAAAGTCTCTCACTTTGGTTTTGTTAATCTGCCACAGGACGGCAGCCAAGAACTGAGAGCCTTTTCCAAAGCAAGCAGAGCAGGTTATGTTTGCTGTTTTTCCTAGATGAGAAGTAAAGGAATTCACCAGTAAAATTAAATCATGCATGTAGTATCTAATTTCACTTAATGTGAAAAATGTTAGCAGAACATCTGATGTGGTCTCCAGAGCGCCTTCTCTCTTCACCCTCTTTGCCTCTTCCCTTCTCYCCGGAGTCTTCACGTCACTCTCAATTCAACTGGAAGCTCAGCTCCCACCACCGTCTCACCTCAGAGGAAACTAAAGGGGCAGATGATCTAGCTTCACAGCCTCACATGATCATGCAGGGTTTCTCCTTACTAGCAACTAGAGTTTCTTTTTAATTGTTTCTTCTACACTTTCCCCTACCACCTGAATTTTCTTCATCTATCCATAATCTACCTTTGGAGACAAAACCACGTTTTACACCACTCCACAGTCATCCAGAACTTAATCATCCACGAAGAGCACTCTTGAGTGCGCCACCCCAAATCCCTAACCGGGAGACTTCTCCCTGCAGAACTGAAAGACGCTGCTTGATCCTGGGTGTATGTTCAACCATCCTCCCCTGAGCCCTTGGCTCCCAAAGGAAGCTGTGTTAACAAGAAGTCAGCTAAGGAGACATGAGGACCGTGGAGCCTCTGGGACGGGTAATGGCATAAGTTAAAAGTTAGAGCACAAAGTATGGCCACGTTCAAATAGAAAGACTGACCATGAGGACAGAGGGACAAACCTCTGGCTATGGCTATCAAACACGGCACAAGAAAAAGATGTCCTGGACTGGGGTAGACGGAGGAGGCTTGGATCCTGCTCTTCCTCGGGAAGGAGGGTGGTGTGAGGGAATCACACAGAAGAAATGTCTGAGCTTAGTCTGGAGAGAGGGGACAGAGGCACAAGGTAGTGGCAGTAGGGAAGAATGTGGGAAGTGCTGCTCATCAGAGAGCAACCCAGAGGGGTGGTGAGTGTGCAGGGCTCATGGCTACAGACAGGCCATGAGGCAGGGGAGGCCACGTCATGAGGACACTTGTTCCACATGCCGAGACGTTCAAATGGTGCCCACTTCCAATGAGAACTGGAAAGGCAGCGGTGGAAGAACCAGGTCCGTCTTCTCATTCTTTTTCTATCATTTATTATCCATGAACTTGGGCATGCCCTTCAGCATCTCTGTTTTCTCCAAAGTCAAGAGGAAACAATGTCTGTCTCCTGTACAGAAGTAACAATAAAACAGACCTACACAGGAGAGCACCATAAATTCCAAAGCACAAAACAGACGTAAATGTCGCATGTTGCTGCAATAGTGGTCCCCATTTTCAGCAGGTGCCTGGGGCTGGTGTTTCCACACTGTCATCTTATACTCCTTAAGGTACACTTGCTAATCAGCTGACTCTATCTAGAGGAATTCAGATCRGGGGTCATAAGGAAGAATTTTTTTCAGTCAACACAGCATTCATATAATTTTCTTACCGATTTCCACTTCCTGTGTTCCATTGTATGGAGGGGCTATAATTACCGGAAACATAGAAAAGCCTTGTGTATCTTAAAATTAAAAACAAAAAGAGAATATGAGAATTAAGAACATTGAATGGTCATCAATATAAAGCTTGTATTTTCATATTTCTAACTTATAAAAAAATGTTCTCAAACTTTTCTGACTATAATCTTTGGCAACACACACTTACATACAAATGAAACAACAACAACAAAATATAAGTAAATACTTTCTCTTACTATATTACAATGGCTTTTTTTTAAGAGAGAGTGAGTGAGAGAGAAAGAGAGAGAGAGAGAATTTTTTTTTAATATTTATTTTTAGTTCTGGGCGGACACAACATCTTTGTTGGTATGTGGTGCTGAGGATCGAACCCGGGCCGCACGCATGCCAGGCGAGCGCGCTACCGCTGAGCCACATCCCCAGCCCCAACAATGCTTTCTTTTTGTATTTTACTTCTCTTCAATATAACTGAAACAAATGTTGATCCAGTCTATTAAATTTATTGTGTGACCTAAAAAACATTCAAGAACGGGCTGGGGATGTGGCTCAAGCGGTAGCGCGCTCGCCTGGCATGCGTGCGGCCCGGGTTCGATCCTCAGCACCACATACCAACAAAGATGTTGTGTCCGCCGAGAACTCAAAAAATAAATATAAATAAATAAATAAATAAATAAATAAATAAATCTTAAAAACTCTCTCTCTCTCTCTCTCTCTCTCCTCTCTCTCCTCTCTCACTCTCTCTCAAAAAAAAAAAACATTCAAGAACCAACAATCTACAGGATAAGCATAAAATTACAGAGAAGATGTCAAAAGACTCATAAAAAAATATGCATGCATGGGCTGGGGATGTGGCTCAAGCGGTAGCGCACTCGCCTGGCATGCGTGCGGCCCGGGTTCGATCCTCAGCACCACATACCAACAAAGATGTTGTGTCCGCCGAGAACTCAAAAAATAAATATTAAAATTCTCTCTCTCTCTCTCTCTCTCTCTCTCTCTCCCTACTTATTGCTCTCCACCATGGTGGCCCACCCTTAGTGGGAGAAGTCCCTTCCTCTTAGGGAGTACTCATTCTGGTGGTTACTGAGGCTGAGGAACAGGGAGGCAGGTGAGTATTTTGGAGCACCCCTTCATGCTGATTTATTTCAGGGTCCTGTGATTAAGGACTACTATAGGGATTGAAGTTAAAACCATAAAAGGAAAAAAAAATAGAAAAGTGGTCTGGCAATACTTATGTTGTAGCAGTGGAGATCTGAAACTGTCCACACAGAAATTTTTCTCCAATATCGTTTTGCTCTAAGAAAACTGCCACATGTAAATGTGCTACTTCACTGCACTATAGACCAAGCTGTGCCAAGGAGACCTCAGCTCTTTGTAGATCTGACAAGTTGTGACTATGAAGTCTCTTCCTTAAATGGGTTTTTATAAAATTTAATATATATTTAGAAACAAAAGTATTGTCTAGAAATAAGTAACTTACTTTAGGTCTTTGTTGATGTCAAAAACATTGCAAACTAGGATTAAAAATCCACCCCCAAACATTTAGATACCCAACTGTACCCCTTAGAGTTAGCCCTTCATCTCTATAGATTCTACATCTATAAATTCAAACCATGGATTGAAAATTTAGGTGGAAATTTTGCTTCCCTGATAAATATGTACAGATTTTTTTTCCTTGTCATCATTCCCTAAACAATGCAGTATAGCAACTATTCACATAGCATCTACATTGTATCAGGTATTGTAAGTAAYCTAGGGTTGAATTCAAGGAGGAGACACGCAGGATCTATGCAAATACTGATAATTTATTGCATAGATAAATGCATAGATTATATTACTGTTCTAGATGAGGGTTTGAGCATCCAAGGATTCTGGTATCTGAGGCAGTGGCCCCTAGAACCAATACCCTGTGGATCATTGCATTGCCATTCAATAAAAGTAACTACATTATCATTCACATTGCTTTACCTTTAGAAAATTAAGTCACAAGAGAAAGACTAGATGTGGCTTTGGATTATAGTATGATCTCTTCCTTGAATTTCTTAGATCTTGTTAGTGTTTGGGGATATCTCTTTGTCATAGTAGAAGATGTAGACAAYAGGGTGAAAGAAGAACAAGTAAGGACAAAGTGCAGGAATCTCAACAAGAAAGGCACACTCTTCCCATGTTATTTTTGTTAACACATCCTGTTTTGTCTAAGTTAGAAGCTTACGTGTAACTGTGAAGGATCTGGTCGCTGTCACACTGTAATTGACTCCATTTTCAGTGTGTATAAATTTACAGGTGTAATCACCTTCGTCATCACTCCTTACATTGTTGATGAGCAAAAATGATTTGTGTGTCCTATACCTTGATCCCTGGAGAGCTTCACAATTCTAAAACAAAAGTTCCATTCCCTTTTCAGTAATTTTGGACTTTTATCTATTTTCATGTATTTCACCACTCCCCGCCGCCCCCCMAAAAATTTCCTTTTACCTTAAACCACTCCAGAGGTGCTGTCCAATTGTAGAGGTCAATTGTAGGACAAGAAATTCTGGAATTTTTTTCTGATCCAGATACTGTTGAATACATTAAATAATCTGGAATTTTGCAATCTGGTTGTTTTTTATATATGGTGACATTTGCAAAGCCAGTCTTATTCAAGTTGGAACTAAAAAAATAAGCCAGACCAAAAAAAAAAAAGTTACTCAGAATTGTGAAATAACAAGTCAACTCTAGCCTTCAATTGATATTATTTTTATATTATTTATTTTTTATAATTGATAGTGGTTCCTTTCTTAGGGAAAAATAATCATTTAAATGTAGAGTTTTGACACAATAGAGTTTTTATTTCCCTTGAGAAAAAAGAAAACATAACACCTATTTCAGCTCCAAAATGACGACTTTATATACTACGTCTGCTGTAAAAGCATGATCCCAATATGACCATGATCACCAGTACTAATTGAAAGTACGTGCCTGTCATGGTGGTAAGCATTTTTCAAACCTTATCTCATTTTATTCTCACAGTGATGCTTCGAAGTAGATTATATTATCACATGTATTTTACAGAAGAGGAAACTAACAGGAAGAGAAGCAGCTTGCTGGTGCCACACAGCTAGCTAGGGCTAGGTTGTGAACTTGAAACTGGTAGGGGATCAGAGGCATGTAACTATACTCAGGTTATCTTTTGAATGCAGCTTGTCTAATATTTTGTAGGTCCAGAATATGGGCATGAATTCAAAATGTAACACTTTACATACAGACTAGTGATCTATAGCCCATGCAATCTCACGCAACCCTCCTTGGCTGACCTCTAAGATTTAAGGTCTGGCCAGTTGCCCCTTTTCACCCACCCAAATCTCCATGATGCCAAAAGTCTAGGTTGCTGGGTTTTGTGCCAGTGGGTTCTTCCTTCCAGCCAAGAGGGAGTCATTGCTCTTGGTTCTTTTGGTAACTGGGAAAGCTAGTTCTTTTTCTAATTGGGGTACCAGTGAATCCCTATCCAAAGAGTTGGTGCATCCCCCCGCCCCCGCCCCAAGCTGGTGGTGTTCCTAGAGTTACTCTTTTATCCAAATCACTTTATAAATTCAGCTGTTCCACAACAGAGTAGAGAAGGAAGACAGGTGAGAATGGAACAGACTCTCAACTACTAACGAAAGAGAAGCGAGCTCAAAGACAATGTTGGCTTCCCGGATAATACCTTCTGATGATGCAAGTGTAAATTCCAGAATCATCCACGCTGGCTGGGAGAAACTTAAGACGTTCCCCTGAGGCAAACACGCGATTTTTTTTCTGGGTGGGAATAATCTCATTTGTTTTTGAGTAATACCATTCTACAGAGGAAAGGGGTGCTCTTCTTTTTGGACATCTCACAATCAGAGCCTCATTTTCTAGGCCCCAGAATGGTTTATCTGCAAAAAAAGAACATAGACATGATCAAATGAAATTATATAATTCTTATTACTCTTAATATTTCCATCTAGGATTAAATTTAACCATGGGTCACATATATTGACATTTTAAGAAACAATAAGTCAATGAGTAAAATCTTTAATGAAGTGTTCTACTGAGTACCACAGATCAGTGAAGTCATTTGGATCCAAATTCACCCTACTGTTCCCGTGGAAAAGCAACCATCTACCTAAACAGATATGTCAGTCAACAAATGCTTGTAAATTAAAAGTTAAAATTCTGATGCATTTGAATATTTACATCTAAAATCATTATTTATTCATTATGAAGAATTTCTTCTGATAGATTTGCAATGAAGAATGATTGTCAAGCATTTACAGTTTTGCAAATGCTTTCTAGTTTACAATTCAGCCRGAACAATTAGAAGTAAGCAATTTAAAACAAGGCACATGCTCTTGGAATTAATTTGTTTGTATTAGTTGAAAAGCAATACTTACAACCATTAGCTTCTATGAAGTGGATGGGAACTGTTAGAATTGCCAAGATCCAAAGGCCCAGTCTCTGTTTATCAACCCAGGGCAAGTGTYGGTGACTGACTGTAGAGGTTGCACYAGATAAATGAATGGTACAGGCTAGGGAAGGTCTCCACAAGGCCATTGGTTGTTCTTCTTGAGATTTACAGTTAGGAAGAATATCCAAAGCCTCTACTGAAAAATATATTATACAAAACCAGAAGAAAAATAATTATTTAGTCATTATTTTTACTAGCTCAAGGCTACCAAGGAGAAAAAAATTGATCAACAGACTTATTAAGAACACATGTATAATAATAGCAGATTTCAGACATGCAATATTGCATTTATTCCTTTTGAACTTTGGTAACTTGGAAAGTTACCTCAATGATCATRCTATCTCACAATTATATTTTACTAGTCTCATGAGAATGTCCTCAAAGAATTTAAGTGAAGAGCAAAGAAAAGGAATGTTTACTGAAAAAAAAAACCCATAAAATTCAAAAGACTCCAGAAAGTGGAATATTATATAAAATGGCAAACATTTTCACAGGCTAGAGGAATTGTGTACACACATGTTAATGCACACTCCAGCACATGTGGAGATTATCATCACAAAGCAACTAAGGGAGAAAGAGAGAGAGAGAGAGAGAGAGAGCCAAAACCTCAAAAATTTGTCCCTGCCTTAGCTTGTCCCCAATAGTCACCAAAGGCTCTCTAAGAATAGTTGAAGGGTTGTAAACAACAAGAAATTACTTTCCTTGTTACTTTCAGTAAGAGGATCATTGATGATATTTTCTTTCATTGGGGAGAGGTGTAATCAATATAGAAATTTACATGCATGTTAATAAACACAACCACCCTTAAGCAAGCTCGTTCCTTTCAACATGAATTATTGATACTTTCCTGACTCCCAACTTTAGATAAGTAATTCATGCTTACCTAGACTGAAGGACTGAAGGGAGCCAGCTCCAGGTCAAGGACTGAGCTAAGAATGGCTTCTTGCCCTTTAGCTCCTTCCTGGACACACTCTCTTTTATTTTAAACACTCAAAGACATCTTGCAACTAGCCACTCCCTCACACCCTGAAATTTGATCTTTAGCCAAAATCATGACTCAGTTAAAAAAATGTCAGTGCATCACTGTCTAAGAATCTGTGAGCTTGATACATGTTTAAAAAGAATGACAACTTTGAAAAATCCCCTCTAAAGGGAACACTCAAATCAGTTCCCTGTGTTTAGCACTCATTGCTCAGGCTGAATGATAAAATAATGTTTGTTGTTTGTTTCCCTGGTATTGTTTCGCTTTTCCTTCCAAATGATCTTGACACATGGACCTTTGAACTGTCCTTCCAGATATTCCCTAACGCCTCATTTGACAGATGCTGTTTAGGAAGGCCCCGTCAGCTGTGCTGGAGAATTTTGAAAAAAAAAAAAAAAAAAGGAGGGGGGAGGAATAAGCCTTGAGAAGCAAGCCGGACTTCGTATTACTTAGAAATGTTTCCTTCTGTGGTCCAGAGTGTGACAATCTTATCCAAAAATAGGGCCCGGCTTCTCAGATTTCAATCCAAATAATACTCTCAGCTTGGATGGAAAATAAGCAAGTTTTTCTAAGGAGTTTAGAGAAGTAGAGGAAAATTGTGAATAAGAAGTTCTCTTCATGGCATTTRCCGGTAAATGGATGGAGTTGGAGAAGATCATGCTAAGTGAAGTTAGCCAATCCCCAAAAAACAAATGCTGAATGTTTTCTTTGATATAAGGAGGCTGATTCATAGTGGGATAGGGAGCAGGAGCATGGGAGGAATAGATGAACTCTAGATAGGGCAGATGAGTGGGAGGGGAAGGGAGGGGGCAGGGGGTAATTAATGATGCTGGAATGTGATAGTCATCATTATCCAAAGTACATGTATGAGGACATGAATTGGTGTGAACATACTATGTGTACAACCAGAGATATGAAAAATCCGAGCTCTATCTAGGTAATAAGAGTCGTAATGCATTCTGCTGTTATATATAAATTAAAAAAAGAAAAAAAMATAAAAGAAGTTCCCTTCAGACGACATCAAATTATCACTCTTTGCAGAKCATATGATTCTATATTTAGAAGATCCAAAAAACTCCACCAAAAGACTGCTAGAGCTAATAAGCAATTTAGCAAAGAAGCAGGTTTAAAAATTAACATACAAAAATCGACGACTTCTCTAAATACCAACAATGAATCTGTTGAGAAAGGAATCAGGAAAACAGTTCCATTCACAGCAGCCTCAAAAAAACAAGAAAAAACCTGGGAATAAATCTTACCAAGGAGGTGAAAGACCTTTGTGTTGTAAATTATAGAACACTGAAGAATGAAATTGAAGGAGATCTCAGAAGATGATGGAAAGACCTCCAATGTTCATGGATAGATAGAATTAATATCGTTAATATGGCCATTCTACCAAAAGAACACAGATTCAATGTAATCCCCACCACAATACCACTGACATTCTTCACAGAACTAGAAAAATCAGTCCTAAAATACATTTGAAAGAATAAAAGACCCAGAACTGCAAAAGCAATTTTAAGCCAAAAAGCAATGCTGGAGGCATCTCAATACCTGGCTTCAAACTATCCTATAGAACTATAGAAACAAAAACTGTATAGCACTGGCATAAAACAGACACATAGACCAATGGTAYAAAATAGAAGACACAGAAACAAACCCACACGTCTGCAGTCAGATATCTGATCTTTGAAAAAGGTGTCAAAAATATACATTGGAAAAAAAAGACAGCTTTTTTAACAAATGGTGCTGGGAAAACTGGTTATCCCTGTGTAGGAGAATGAAACTAGATCCTTAATGCTCACTCTACACAAAAATAAACTAAAAATGGATCAAAGACCTAGGAATTAGACCAGAAACTATGCAAGTGCAAGAAGAAAATGTAGGGCCAACACTTCAGCTTTCAGGCCAGACAATGATTTTCTCAATAGGACTCCTAATTAGAACTTAGTAAAAAATACAAAGAGTTAAGAAACAGGATGACATCAAATTAAAAAGGTTCTGTATGGCAAAAGAAACAATTAGGAATGTAAAGAAAMTACCTACAGAATGAGAGTAAATCTTTGCCAGCTTCTCTTCTGACAGAGGATCAACATCTAGAATATATAAAGAACTCACACTGTTGGTGGGATTGTAAATCAGTACAACTGCTATGTAAATCAGCATGGAGATTCCTCATAAGACTAGGCCTGGAACCACCATGTGATCCAGCTACACCACTCCTCTGTATTTTTCCTGAAGAATTCAAGTCATCATACTACAGTGATACAAGCATACCCACATTTATAACAGCACAATTCACAATAGCCAAAATATTGAACCAGCCTAGGTGTCCCTGAATGGATGAATGGATAAAGAAAATAGGGTACATATATACACAATGGAGTTTAATTTAGCCATAAAGTAAAATGAAATTATGTCATTCACAAGAAGATGGATGGAACCAGAGACCATTAAGTGAAATAAGTGAAACTCAGAAGTCAAACATTGTATGTTTTCTCTTATATGTGAAAGCTAGAGAGAGAAAAAAGGAAAAGAAAGGTGGGAAGAGAAGATCTCAGGAAAATCAAAGGGAGATCAATAGAGGAAAGGAACCAGGGAGCAGGAGGAGAGAAGAGAGGGGGAAATCCTGAGGAGTTATATTGGCCAACTTACATTGTTATATTGTGAGCATGTGTGAATATGTAACCACAAATTCCATCATTATGTACAACCCTAATGCACCCATAAAAAATGTAGAAATAAAAAGAAAAGAAGTTTCCATTTCAAGGTAGGAACAAAGCATCACCTCGGACTTTGGACTCCATGATATTAATGTTAAATGTTAATGGTTAAATTTGATTTTAGCTATACATAGTTGTTGTGACTCCATTATGAAAGTACATTCAAATTAACTTTTTAGTCATCACATCTGGGAAGGATTTAGGGGCTACTTCCAGGCCAACATGATAGCAGAATAAAAATAGCTAGCCTTTACGTGGGACTTTCTCCGTGCCATATGCCGTTCTGAGTGAATCACATGTATCTCTTTATTCTCAAAATCACCCGATGGTGTGGGCACTATTATAACTATCAACCCTCTACAGACAAGGACACGGAGGAACAGAAATTAAGTAACTTGCTTAAGCTATATAACACTGTGAGATAGAGCCGGAACTTGAATCTCAAATCAGCCAGCTACAAAGACCAGATTCATCACCAGATCCCGTGGCTACCAGGTGTGGGAAATTAAGGAGGAAGTACAGCCAAAGAGACCCCTAAGTAAACGTTTTCATCCAGTTTCCAGAAGCTTCTTTGCTCCCCACGGTGGCTGGGAGCCTCTTGTTATATCTTAACTGCACAAGGGTCTGGCCAGTCCTTGGACATGAGTGACAAGATCTGAGAGGAAGAGATACCAAGACCTTTGACTACTGGAGGATTGGCCTTGAGATAGATGGTGTGACTTTGAGGAATTAGTTCTGCTCATGGATATTTTTGATTCTTCCTGTCAAGATCGGATTATGAGTCTGAGCATGAGATCAAAAAGCAAAGAGCCCGAATGTTTGGAACCTGCCTAGAGCTTAATCAGCACCAGATAAGGGTTTGTCAAATTAAATAATGCAAAAACTCAGAATTGTTTTTATATATTTTGTGTCCTGAAATGTCTTTTTCAAAATATTTGTTAAAGTTGGGCATTTACTCGTTAAACGAGGCCACATGTGTATTGGGCTTCATAGTTTTAAAAATAAGGTGTCAAGTCAAAATTTTAACATAATAAATATTTACAGAAGCATTTGAGAAAGTCCAACTGCAGTGAAATAGTTCAGACATCTATTTGGCAAATTTAAGAACTTCCATTCAAAGTACATTACTATCGGTTAAAAACAAATTTTAAAAATTCGAAAAATCAAAGTACAGTACTATATACATCATTGGAATTTTATTGATTAACATGAAAACCCGAGGATAAGACTGGTGATATAATATGACCAAGCTCACCCGGTTGTGGTTGAGGTTAAAACCAGACCTGCTGAGATTCAAAACCAAGGTCTCCACCCGCTCCTAATATCAACTCAAAGAGAGATAGATTATAATGTTAAAGCTTCCCTTCTTATAATTGGGACT